ATTGTTAGGGCAACAGAGCACTGGCACAGATTGCCCAGAGAGGTTGTGGAGTCTCCATCCTTGGAGATATTCAGAAGCCATCTGGACACAGTCCTGGGCAACCAGCTCTAGGTGGCCCTGCCTAAGTAGGGGTGTTGGACCAGATGATGTCCACAGGTCCCTTCCCAACTCAACCATTCTGTGATTCTAAGCTGAGAGGTCTGTTTTAGTAATAGGTCTTCATAAGGGAAAATTCAATAACAGGTTATACCCTTCCACAGTTCACCCCAAATCACTTTTTGAGGATCACTTATTAAGTGCCCAGCACATGCCAATGGCCCACAGAATTTACAAGTGTGACAAAGAAACACATAGGGTATAATTAAGCACATATTCAGTGAATTCTTAACATCTGCCTATCACAAACCATCATCAGAGCTGCTTCATGGAAAACAGTCCCTCTGTCCCCCGTATTTACATTTACAACAGGGCATGGAGACTTCAGCAACACATGCGACCACATTTCAGCTTTGTGACACACAGGTGTGTATGTGGGGACAGCCCTCACAATCTGTGTTAGAAGATGGCTCCCGAACACCACACCTACAATGGTGGCATAGCAAAGCTTGGGAAGGATAGTTAACTTACCATTTCATGCAGCGCTGCAACGATCACGCTTAAAGCTGAGACCAGGCATGATTTCTGTTCAAAGCAGAGATTCACTCTAGTAAGTCAGTTCAGTCAACATTAAATGATATTAAATAATGTTTGTGGTGGCCTTAAACAGGCCCATATCATCTTCTTCCACAACACCCCAGACTACTACCATCCCCTCATACCTGCTTGCACGGTAGCCAGTTCTGGAGCAGAGCTGTTGGCCACCCGCCTGGCCTCACCTCGCTCCCCTCTGCAGGGCCACCCAGCCCAGCTCTGGCAGAGCTGCTGTTCAGACCTTCAAAGACTGGCCAGAACTTGCTTACATCTGCCTGTAAAAACATAACCTAGATATGTTCTAGCTAATCTTTCAGAGAATAACGCGGCCCCGACCAAAACAGCGATCTGAAATAGCCTTCTGGTCTGTTGAGATATGTAATGTAAACAACAAAGCAGCTAGAATCAAGAGACTCATTTTCTCATACTTTTTGTTCTTGCACATAGAGCAGCAAATTCAAATCTAGACAAGACAAATACTGTCAACTGCACTGATAGAAAACTAAGGGTTTGAATATTTTTACTGAATTCCAGTAATACAAGCTTTCTTCCTGCCTATTTTTTTTTTTTTGACAAAGATTTCTTGGAAGATTCAGAAAGGAGAGCAGATGGGTTTTGATGTGCAGCTCTATGGCATGGGAACCCTTGGTAGGCATCTTGGTTACTGAAGACCATCACATTCCACCTTATTCTTTGTGAGCCCTTCATACTTGTTTTGGTATTTATCTGCCTTGAGCGTGAGGAGCTAAGGCTACTAATCTCACAGCCAACAGGAGTAACCACTCTTGGCATGGGATGGCTGCTGCATTCTCCTCCTCGCCCCCGCCGAAACCCTCATGGTTCAACAGACAGGTAAAAATTGGGCCCAGAATACTCTTTGCCAAAGCCTGATGACATCCTGGCAGATTTTCTCTATTTGCCATGTATTGAACTTGAACTAAGTAATCAGTGTCTTCTACACACTAAAACTGGAGAAATGTGGGGGTTTTAATTGAATTACATTGATGTTTGAAAGGCCCTTTTCCCACCACGCCCCCAGTTCAGTTCTGGTGCAAGGAGAAACAGCCAGCACATTGTATTAAGGGTTAGTTCTGCAAATGCCCCACTGTTACCAAACACGAATGCTCAGTTGCTCGCAGTTTAGACTCATTAATTTCCGCTCTCCCCACCAGTCCTGCAAAACCAGACAGCACGAAATGAATTGTCATTTTGGCAGCTTGCGAGTATTGCATTTCTCAGAAAGGAAATGGGTCAGTTCTCGAATATGGTTGTACTTCTATTACAACCTGCTACGGCTGTCTCCTACCAAGATCCTGAAGCACAAATTTGCACTTCAGATCAGCTGAAGACGTAACTTGCTCTGCAGAAAACACAACAGTCCTTTTTACTGTGCTCCAAAGGTGCACCTTAAGAGTTAAAACCAGCACATGCTTCTAAGGAAGATTAAAAACAGCACGGAAAACTGCACAGAGTTTGGTTTCTGTCTTTTTTCTTGTTGTCAAAGCCCTTTCTTGACCTTTATTTTTGTACTGACTCAACAAGCAGCACAGTGGGTAACTCCCAGCTCTTTCTCTGGAATCCCACCCATGTTTGTAGAAGGGGAAAAAAAGAAAAGAAAAGAAAAGAAAACACAACACTGTAAAAAGATAGCCAATATTTACTGAGCCTGTCCTTGCCTTTGCCTGATAGCATCTGGACCCACTAGCCAGAAGTCGCAGGGCGATTCCCCTGCCGTCAGCCCCACCTGGTTTTTAGGGAGTGAGCGGGAAAGTGGAAGAAGTGAGACTTCTAGCAGCCTTTTTCCGCCGTCATCCCAGCCTTTTTGGAGACACCCACCCTGCAGCAGAAACCCCCCAGTGCTCTGGAGCGGAGGAGTGAAGCTGGCAGCCAGCTGCTTCCCCCAGCATCGCCTGCAGCTGCCGGCGCGGATATCCCCTCTGGGGCCAGGGCTGCCCGCAGCTGCAGGGGGTCAGACCCCAGCCGAAACATGGTTGGCTGAGCAACAGGGCACCAGAGAGCAGCCAGCTCACCCTCGCCTCATTTCCTGCAGAAAATACTCACCCCAGTCGTTTTTGGTTCAGGCTCTGTAGGGAGGGGAGCCTGTATCACCCGCTCATCCAACTGCTGTCTGGAAACAGAAGCCCAGGGGGAGGGCAGAGGGGTCTCTGTGTTGGGCTTAAATATGTGCAGGTGTTAGGGCCATGGGAGGCATTTTTCTAAACCTGACGAGGGAGTTTCAGTACGGATTTGGTTTCAGCAGCCAGCAGCTTCCAAGGAAGAAAGCTGAGTCAGAGGTACCGATGTCTTCCAACACTCAGCTCTATTCCATGAAGCAAACCCAATGCTAAGTCTCTAGCTGTGATCCTTGCAAGGCACACTGCTTCAAATGTAATCCAACAGCTAGGAACAACACATTACTAGGGAGCTTTTATCAAAGAACTGAGATTTTCAACAGTGGGATTTCTTTGCCTGGGGATACTTAGGCCTGAAGATAAATTTACCAAAGATAAAAAGTTAAAGAAACTGCTCTGAAGATATTTATTCTAAAATAGTGGCCCCGTCGTACATGAATTAGGGAATCCTTAAATTTATGCCTTCGGGTAATCTCTGTCTTAATCTTTCTGACCCAGGAGAGGAGTGAGCACTCTGTTTCCAGGTGACAGATCTCAACCTGTGACACATCCTAGCATAGAGAAACCTGCCCGCATCATGTCCTCAAGAGGGCTACAGCAGGAACATGAGGTATTTTACACAAAACACAGAGGAAGCGGTACTCTCTAAAATAGCTGCTCTCCCCCATTCAAAGGCAAACCACACTGAATGATCTCAGACAGGAATTTAAAGACTTCAATGCACTGGAAAGGGCAGATGGTTTTAGTCAATAAACCAATTGTCAGGGCAGTATCTCAGTTTTATGATTCATCTAAAAATACTGCATGCAGCTCAAAGACAGTAACCTGGAACCAGTTTACCATTTATTTGAAAAGTATGACACAAGTGACAAAACATTTTTAACACGTACTTAGATCTCAAGGTCTATTTGTATAACTACTGAGGGATGCAAACACTACCCAAGCCTTGGCAAAAGGAGTTTCTGGTCTGTCATTGCTCTTAAGTGTGGAACGAACAACTAATGTGCAGTAATAAATGTGCAGGAAATAACAAAGACAGTAATTGCCTTGTTACCGTATTAGCAATTTGCAAACGGAGACTGTGCATATCTTAAGAGGAGATTTCATCATTTTGGGACTGGGAGGTGCACACTGGAATATTTCTACTGCTTTTGCCCAATTAACATTTTTGCATCCCTCAGTAGTGACAGCTCTGATCTCATCTAGGATGCTGACCTTTAAAAAAAAGAAAAAGGAAAAAACCTCAACACACCCATGCTGAGGCCCGGTAAAATGTTACCCGCACACAGATTTCCCTCAAGTTTCTCTGGAAGAGGCCTATGGTTTTGAGTGAATCAAGCACCAGGTTTTGCTGAGCGTGTCCTATACACGCTGTTTACGCACAGGACAGACAGACAATATGCCGCCAGGCTCTGATTTGTCACAGAAATCACATCCTAACCACAATAACAAAAATAACCCCCCACCCAGTTTCACAGCTGTTTCAGAAGATCGGCAGATTTTTGCTCATACTCTTAACAGGGCAAAGATGCAGAAAGCCCTGGGTACGAGTTCTCCTTATTAAGCTCTCCGGCTTCTTGGCAGCTTCAGAGGAGTCTCCCCCAGCCGAGACTGTCAGAGCAGGGCACACAGACAGCCAGTGGCAGTGGGGAAAGGACCAACAACACAGCCAGCGGCAGGGAGAGGCTTCACAAATATCTGCACAGCTGGGGAGAGACTTAGGAGCTGAGCAAAGCTATCCTCAGTTAAACGGTAACCAAATCTTACATCTAAATCCTCCCGAAAGGAGGGGTGATAAAAAGCTTCCCCACCCCACCCCCCCACCCCAAAGCATCCTGCTGCCTCTCTGCAAGGCAAGGAAGTTTTGTCAGACAGCTAGACACAAGATAATTTTAAAGCTATAGGGCTTATAATTATTTCATACTATCAGTTACATGTAAACTGTATACAAAATACAACTACCTCTGCATTGTGCAGGCTGGGATGGGGGGTCGTTTTCTTGCTTTTTTAACCTAACCCTGTGTCGGAGAGAAAGCTCCTCCCCGGCTGTTCCATGCACAAATGAATGCAGCTTTCTCCGAGGAAAGCCACTAACGCTTCAGCGATGCTTTCCGAGCACAAACCCAGGCACGGATATTGTAAAAATACACAGCCAACTGCACGAAGGCATTTGCTCACCTGATTTTCCCATGATCAAGTGGTGGTGTGTTTTTTTTTTTTAATTTCACCTGATGCCTCCTCTCTTCACGGAGTTTTGCTCTTAAGCGCCGGGGACGAAGCGTTGGCAAATTTCAGCTCAACTTCTTCAGTCGCCTGCGACCGCTGCCGGAGAAAACTCAGCAGCATGAACCCGTTACCGCCCCTTCTTCAGCACTGGAGTAAGCCTGCCCACGCCTTATAAGGCATAGGGACACTGCTTTTTTTTTTTTTTCTTAAAAAGATTCTGTTTAGGGTCAGGAGCTATTTATCCTCCACAGTAACCAAGCAGCTCCAAAACACCATATGGTTTCACATACCAATTTAGCTTAGTAATAGCGGCTGTCTTCTGATAAGAGGGGGCTGTGGAAAGAAATTCTGCTGACAAATAATTCTGCTGCCACGATGGGCATAATCCATGAGGTTAAATCATATAGCTAAACACTTGTTAAAGTTTTACCTAGTTACTGTACGTAAAGTCGAAACAGGCAAGTGATAAGGCAGTTCGAAGTATAACTATATTTTATGTCTAAAAAAAATCACTTTCTGCACTGTTACAACATAATCTGTAGAAGGTATCAGTAAAAGGCAGCATAAAATTTTGCAAGTTAAACAGGAACCGTGCTCACGGTGCATTTCTGTAAAAAGACTTGGACGCGTGTATGCCTCATTTTATCTGTGCAAGCACATTGTGCCACTGTTATCTTCACACTACATCGAAATACCTCAAGCTAATCTGGCAAATATTAACTACTTCAACTATGGTGAACACGATACCTTGATTTAATTTCAGAAGTGCTGCATCTCTCCAAACAATAATTCAGTTATGTGCTTCCAACTTTCATCTTTTCATCATCACAAAAAATCATCTGAGGTTAATGCTTCCCGATTTTTTACACCACCTTCCAAAATTTCAAGGTTATACTTGGTTTTGTGCCAAGTCCACTGGCTTAGCAGATTCTAATTATCCTTTATCTACCTTTGGAGGCTGAGCTCCAAAGGTTGGACATTGGGTTTGTGGGGTTTATTTTCTTTTTTAAACAAATAGCAGCACCAGATGGGGAAGACAACATCCCTTCACTAACACACTGCTCCTCCTGAGGTTGCTTCACTGGCAAAGCTGAAACACCAGCCGAGGGGGTGTCACTATCTAATCTCTGATGGGATCATCACCCAGAAGAGGAAACCGCAGAGTGTGAGATCACGCTCATCTTCCCTTCGCTGGTAGCAAGGCTGGCAGCAGAGCAGGAGGAAGAGGTCAGAGAAGGTGCAGGAGGAAATCTCTTCCCGCTCCCTCTGCCGTGAGAGTGGTGGCTGCTGGCTGAAGAGCAGGGTGGAGAGCTGGAGCTGGTACAATCAGAGCCCTACATCTGGAGGCGAAAGCCACCATTTTATTTGCCTGCAGGAGTGAACAAACCATGGGCCTAGCCTCTAAAAACGCTCTGCTAAACTTGAAATACTGGGTTGTAGTAGTCCTAGGACATACATCAGTGCTCAGCAATACCCTGTGCCACCCTATGGCCATGACAAGGAGTAGAAGGGAATTCAAATTTGCATAGCTGGGAGTGTCTGGTATTTCAAATGTTCATTTATATCCTCATAGTTGGTTGTTAAACTTTGTACTGTTAATGTTTTAGATTTCTATAACATTCAGCCGCATTATAAAGCATCATCCCCTTGGGGCCTGGACTGCTACTAAGGATACAGTATCAAGATCTTCAAAAATGACCAGAGACACCTGCATGTGATTTTCAGTGCATCCTGTGCAATCATAACTTGGAAAAGAAGGCTTCTCTGATCTGACAAAAATCCAGTGTTACCTACAGGAAAAAAACGGTGCTTTTTCTGATCAGAAAACAAGGAACTCAAAATCACCACTCAGGCACGAAATGTGAAAAGTATCAGTACAAAGTAAATGAAATGACTCATCAGAGACTGGAAAGCAGTGTAAGCTGAGATACACAAAAACAAAGAGGAAGGAGGGAGCTAGGCTTTTTTAGCATTTTAACATCACCTGACGAAATTTCCACACTAACGAATATTGCTGATCTTATCAGATGGAAATTTGGAGGAAGTATGTACAACAATAATTAAGAATGCAATCAAGTCTTTGAAAATAATGAAAGCAATTAAATAAAAGCTACTGCTAGATAAATTTGCAAACTGTAAATCATTAATATCCTTTTACCAGTTTCAGGTAGTATCAAACATCCTGGAACCTGCGTGGAAACAAACGCAATTTCTCATGTGCTTTGTGATGTATCAGAGCACCTCCAAACGCATGCTTGTTTAATTACTGCATGATCCCTTTACACAACGAAAATACTAGGATGGCATTGGTACTATCCAATAGTGGGCATTGGAAACTATCTTACAGGAATAGAAATGCCCTGACATGATCAGATCTTGACTGCAGCATTCTGCGTCCTATAGCAACACCTACTAAACATTTCTGGAAAAGATGCAAAAAAATTACAATGTGGATTGACTCATTTTTAATTGTTCCATCTTTATGCTAAAAGGAAAAGAGAGCAAAAACAGCTGGCTAGAAAAAGTAACACTTAACTACTAAAGACTGGTGTGATAAATATTCTTTCTGGAAATAGGTTATAGAGCACATAAGAAGGAAAAATGCAATTTGAAAGGAAGTGCTTGAATCATAACAATCAGGGAGTTAGAGGTAATTCATTTGCAGTAGAGCTATTTCACCTGCATCCTGAAAATCTGTGGCTAAAATTTTGGTGTCAAACTGAGTATGTGACATTCAGATGACAAAACTGATTCCCCCTTCTACACCACCTTCCCTTTTTCTCTCACCAAAGCAAATCCATTTCACTTCTCCGCATCAACCCCTTCTCTTTACCTTGATGTGACTGAACCTAACGCTTGCAGTCTCGTAACTTCCTCTGGTACCACCATACGTAATCTCACATCCTTCCCCTCCTTTGTTTTCCTGTCTCCTCTGGAAGCTTCCTGCACCCCTTCTCACCAGCGGTTTCTCTTCATTGTCCCCCAACCTGCCCTGCGTGACCTGTTGTTCACTTTGTGATAAGCCCTGGGCAGCCACAGGCACTCTCGGTGTGCCCAACAGACTGCCTCAGGGCACGTGGACCCAGCAAGGCCAGTGTGGTGGAACTGGCAGTGTGAATTTCCGGGCCCAGGTGGGATTGTGCTGCTGCCTGTTGTCTCACAAAGCTTAGTCTTCACAGCCACGTGCTGACAGCCTCCATACAGGCTTTCCAGTAGCTTCCACCAGCCAGACATATTATGGATAAACCTGTAGAAACTCAGGACTAAACAGATGTCTTTTTGACAGAGCAAGAAACCCCACGCAGATCCCAGGTTTCCCGTTGTCTTCCCAGAGGTCTACCTTCACACAGACGAGTACCTATCTCCACCTGGCAAGGAACCCACCCAAGCAGGATGCTGCACCAGCTATGTCTGTTGCGATGGCCCCAGTAGCACCACAGATTTCAGCCTGCAAGTGCTGCCCACACAGATCCCCAACTGCTTGCAGGCAGGTTCAGACACATTTAAGAAGGCCTGTGATGAACCTTTTCGCATGTGCACGCTCTGATGGGTCCGGTTGATGCAAACGCCTGTCATCATTAACATTTGGAATCATTAATTCATTCCACCAATTGGAATGAATCCGGTGCAATTAGGTTCCCGCACAGACTGGGGCAGACATGTGACAGGGCTGTCATACATAAGCCCTGCCAAGGAGGCGTGTATGCCTCCCAGCTGCCTTTGAAACAAGCACTAAGCAGTTTCTCTGTACATCAAACCATATGTACAAAAAAGTTTGTGAGCAAAACTAAATGTAACAAATCTGCTCCTCTCAAGAGACTCTTAACAAGTGACCCTAAGGACCAACAGCATTCATAGGAATATGAATGGATCATATATGAACAACATCATATATGGTGACAAGAATCATGAGTGAACAATACAGCGATGCACCAGACTATCAATGCATGTAGAAAACCACATATTGAGGTAAAAGGAAAACAGGGCAAAAACGATGGTAGAATATTTGAGAATATTCCTCCTGTTCCAGTTTTGCCAGGCTTTGGCTGTGGGATCCAGACTGGTATCGCTGTTTCACCTGTAAAGCAATCCAGCCTGCGTAGCAGGTCACAAAAATTCAACTTTAACATGGCTGAAGATGTTAATTTTTATTGCAAGAGTTCACATTAATCTCTGCTTTCTAGTTTGACCATAACTCGCAGATTCTGAAGAGACTGAAAAGAACTGAGCCGAAAAGAGCAAGCAAAAGCAGGGCTATTTTTGCTATTTCTCTTCTCAGTGCTGTGCTGTTCCTGGGTGACCACATCCACAAAACCCTCACACAGAAAGCAGGAGACTGTCACTGCAGAGTAATCATTGACTTTAACTTCTTCCTACACATCGCAAGATAAAAGTAGCGCGTGATTAATCACCAACAACAGTCTTAAGGGCTGGATTCAAAGCAAAGGTTTTTAGGGACAAAATGTGGCAATATTGTTGTCCAAAGGAGAGTGTGGCACAGGCACTGCTTTTCTCTCCAGGGGCCCAACACCCTCCCCAGCTGACATTCTTCAGGCTCAGTCCTTGACCACCTAAATGTCTGAGAGCACAAGCGCACAAATCTCACCAGAGGAGGGCACTGAAATGCCCACTTGAGCCTCAGGATATTTCTTGATGTGGGCCAAACTACTGGGGCTCTAGCTTCACAAAAGCACCCAAGGAAAACCCTTGGCATGGTTGCTCTCAACTAGGTCCAAGCAGGACCTTCCATAAGACGTGTCACTTCCCACCTCTGCGGATGCTTGGGGTGCTTCCTCTGCACCCTGCCATGGAGAACGATGTGGAGCCCCTGTTGTTCTGCAAGGGGCAGGGTCCAGCTCAGCCTCATGGTACAGAGAAGTTAAGGTAAGGAGTGGGAGGAGAAGGTACTCTGGAAGGACTTCTGGCCCAAAAAAAGGATTTGAGGGCATTCTAAAGGAGAGAGTT